CCTTAGTGATTCTGTGATTCTGTGATCTTTACTGACTTCTGTTCCATCATAGTAAATATGACTTGCTTTGTGTGGTGTGGAAAGAAAAGTTGACGGGGCATGCCTATCGAGGATATTGCAAAATTGGGTAGATAATATCAGAGTCTGTTTTCTGTTCTAATCATGAAATTGAAGACACTCTCTCTTTGGGTACAGGCGGCTATTCATACTCCTAAAACTTACTTCCAGGGGAGCCTTAATTCTTAAGAAGACTCACAGAGGTTAAAAGCTATTTGTACAGAAACATAAGTTGACATGTCCTAAGATTCTTTTCTAGCTTCACAGTACAACCCTGGGGACTGAAACAGGGCTGTCTTGTCTCACTTGCATCCGCATCCTTGTGGCTGTTCTGGAAATGTAAACAGTCTTTCTCAATGAAAAACTGTGACTCTTCACTGTTATTTTTCCCCTTTGTAATTTATTTAAGACGAGTAAACTTTTTTAAATAAAACATGTTTAGTATTTCAAATATATAATCTAATAAATAATGGTGTACTGAAATATCAATGGATTTCTAGAACCATGTGTGAATAAACTGTCCAAGCTCTTCCTCTTTCATGTGTCCCATTCTTATAGCCTGCTGTGTTTCTTAAGATGCCTTGAATCCCTCAGATTGTTACTTGGGATCAATGAGGTAATAACTTCCTATTTTATTGGGTTGTTTGTCAAGCTATGTTAGAGAAGAAAAAACAGGCAAAAATTACTTCAGCCCTGAGGTTTTAACCCCGCCCTGCTCTTGAGAAGGTATTTAGTAACAGATTAAACAAACAGCACTTCCCAGATATAGACCATTCTAACATTTCACTCTGTGATTAACTGCTGCTATAAAACTATGACATCTCTGATAAAATTGAAAATGAGTTGTAGAATTAAAAAATAGAAAACAGAGTAAACCCAAATGATTTTGATGTCTGTGAGGGCTGATCTGCTAGGCTTCTAAGGACACTTGATGTCTCTAAGGGCTGATTTGTAGTAGTTGATTTTTACAGCTGTCAGTTTCCATGATTCTCAGCAGTTTTAGTACAAACCTCAGCATTTGACTTCAAGTAATGATAAAAAAGATGAGTATTGAGCTGACTTCCAGGTACACAATAGAGAAAGCTTTTTGGCTGTCATCTATTAGGAAATGTGTATTTTCTTTAAGGAGGGAAAGTGTCTGCACCCTGCTGTGCCTGCTTCATATTGTCCTGATGGTTTAAAAAGAAAAGCGAATGAACAACCAGACAAAAATGCAAACACCCCAAAGCAAACATCATAAACTCCTCCCTTCCTTCTGGATTTGCTCTGCAGCCTTCCAGCTGTCCAGCATGTTCTTGGTCTTTTTAGACATTATCTTTACAGGTTCTTAATTGCCAGGGATATTCTGTATTGGAGATTTGAGTCTTATCTTGGCAGTCTGAATCTCTATTTGAGTAGTAAGTATCTTAAAAAGTGACTCTTTTCTCTATGGTAGTACATTATAGCTTCTAATAGGCTATGTAGCTTAAAAGTAAAGAAAAAATTGTTGTTGAAATGGAATTTGGCACTTTCACAGATCAAAACAGTTCAGCTACTCCATTAAGTAACAATCCCAGATATCACAAAGCTAATATATGAAAGAAAAGGTGCTTAAAAGAGGTCTCTTGAAAAGTTCTTTGAATTTGCCTTTCCTGCTCCATACAAATGCATCTGTGACTGCAGGAGAGGAGAGCGTTTTCAAGACTGCTGTGTCACTGATGTATGCTGGTGTCCGACATATATTTGTGATTGCATGCACCAGTGTTCAAGTTCTTGTGTCTATTGACAGTCCTTCCTTATTTCTCTGAGAGTTCATGGAAACAGCAGAATATTTCTAATGCTACAAACTTCTTATGATCTGTTCAATGCAAGCAGGCTGTAGGCAGCTCAGTGAATTGTCTGTCTTCTCATCATTGCCATCAGGGATTGGTAACCCCAAAGGCTGTGCCAACTGGCAGGACTTAGTCTGTCCAATTTGTCGTGGAAGGATTAATGTGCTCCTTGGTTGGCCAGAAGGGCACAGTGTCTGGTCTGGGATGACAACCTTCTCATCAGTCCCTTCACCTGTGTTTGGCCTTCCCTTAGGCCTGGCCATGCAATTGTCTTGGAAAGGTTTGTGATGGCAGCTCTGCATCCTGTGGGCAATGTGTCTTATTACCCATTTGGCCATTGACTTGATCCTTCTTCAGAAAGAAAGAGAATACAGAGCTACTTTCTGGCTCCTCAGTGCAGGCCCTCCTGGGTGGCCTCGGGGTCCAAGTACAGGGAAGCTTGGAAGTGAAGCCACATCCTTCTGCAGCAGAAGGTCATGGTGTGGTTGTTTTCACCTATACACATCCCTGTTTTAGAGGGGACTTAGCCTGCTTTGCCGCAGCTGAGGGAGCTCAGTGTTCCCCTTCACTGTTTTTGCTTCTGTGAGGTTTTATGTGAGATTTTCTTTGGTTCATGTAGCCTCAGCCTCTTCTTGAACCAGCATTTCTCTGCTGTTTCCCCGGGACTGCTTGCATCCGACTGCCCAGCAGGCTGAAGTAAAAGCAGGGCAGGATAAAGAAAAAAATTACACTATTAAGTGGGTGGAAAACTGTGCTGAGCACTGTACAGGAAGCCTAGAGAGTAAGCTGGAATCGTAAACCAGTGTGGGCAGCACATACACCCAAGGCATCCCACTCCCAGAAGTACAGCCCGAACTGGCCAGTCTGCAGGTGTGTCCCGGTCCTTGGGAGCCGGGGCTCTCAGTGCCTTACAGCTCCTGGTCCAAGGCAGATGTCGTCAACTCTGTGCCTTTTGGGAATAGTAGAGTAGGGGAAGCGGAGACGTAAAAGCTGCTGACAAAGCTAGATGTTTCTCTAGCAGAGCTACAGTTTCTTCCTACCTTAAGCACATTGTGTGTGTGTAGGCAGTTTTCCAACATTTTTCACTGGAAAATGTTATTTAAAGGAAAACAAACAATGCATTTATATAATAGAAATATGGGTGAGAGTCTATATCTCTAGAAATGTGAACTCATTCCCTTTTCTGGGGAGCAGAAGGAAGCAAACTTGTTCATTTTGGTGCGAGTATAACACAATTCATGACTAATGCTGATAATACTTTCCCTGCATTGCCATGGGAACTCGTTGTAACTGTATATCTTGCTGCTGTTGAGGTTACATGGCTGCTCTTCAGGGTGTTTTTGGGACCAAATAACAGTGGACCTGTACTCAGACCCCCAAAGCTAGTAGTGATGTGAACTAATTGTTGAAAATACGTTTGGTTCAAAATATGTTTTGCAATACTGCAAATGTGGATGTTTCCTGTCTTGTTTTCAGCTGAAACAAGTATGGATCTGGCACAGATGGGGTGCATTGAAAGATGGAGAAAAGGTGGTAGGGTCTAGGACTTGAACGTCTGTTTGGAGAAAATAAATGAAGTTCAGTCAGACCTTTGAGCGATGGTTTACCAGTATTTTTCATGAAGCCTGTTTCTGGTGCATTTGAGCTTCTACTTCACATAAACCCAAAGGATAATTTTGGGCAACGTGGCTACACCATCAATGGTGTGAGGTGCCAGGTGGACTCCTGCTTCCATCTGTGCTGTTTCTGTGGTGTCATTTCGGCAAGTGGCATTAGCAGGGCGGTGACTGGCCTGTTTAGTTTTCTGTGTGTATCCCTGGTTGGTAACATTAAGTTTGGTTCCCAATGGTGCTCCCAGTGTCTTTGCTGCTGTACTTGAGATCTGCTGTAAGGTAGGTCATTGACAAGACTTTAAGTACTGTATCAGTAAGTCTGTTTCAGCCCCTATCATGTTTTCCTGTGTATCTGATTTTTTTTTAGCTTGAATACAAAAAAAAAGCTGTGTGTTGTCTTTTTTGGTGTTTTGGGGTTTCTTTGGTTGTTTTTTTCCTGCTCTTATTATTGCTGTGGGTAGCGAGGCAGTGAATTTAAACATTAGGAAAACAAGAAATGGAAAAAACCCCCCCACAACTCAAACCCTGCTAAACTCTGTTTCTAAATAACTCTCCACCCCCAAAGAAAACAGGCAATTTCCTCTTTATTTCCTTAGAGGCTAATGGAGAGCAGGAAAATACAGTTTTGAACCAGCTTTTTGTATGATGCACTACAGCTTTAGGGGCTTTTACATTTGGCTTTGTCTCTGCCTTCATTGTAGTTGTTTTGATTGCTAAATTGTTGAACTTTTCCCTTGAGCTTGCTCTTGGCGGGTACTGCTTATGGCAGGCATGAAGCGTGTTTGTACCACTCTGTACCAGTATATTTGGGACCTTAAGTTAACCTTTTTTAAAAACTATTGAAGGGATTTAAAGAGCACATCTCCTAAATGTGAGTTTGAATCTTTTAGTTGGCACAGGAGGTGATACATCACTTCCTATACTGTGCTGAAAAAAATAAAAACCTTCGTCTTCCTTCAACTGATCTGGGTCACAATTGCAGGCAGCAGTTTATCCTGATGGATAAAAGAAAATGTGGACTGAAATGAATGCATTTTATTGTTTCTGCTTGTTGAGTTCCATCTGTAACAGCTCTTGAACTAGCATCCTAGAGCCAAATTATAATTTTCTTCAGTAACAACTCTTTACAGAAAATGGCAACAAAACGTTAAATGTCAACTGAATTATCCTTTTCAAACCTGTGTAGCTTAGCTGTTCATGTGCTCTGTTACTTTTTTCAGAATGGAAACTGGAGGACTTGAAGAGACTGGATGTCAACCAGGTATCAAACATACCTAATTTAATAGCTCGTAAATTTTGACCTTAAATTACAAGTTTTATGTGGTTTAAACTGATTGATGGAATTTGAATGATCACGCTGATGTAGCATTTCCCTGGAATGTGTTACTTAAATGTTAGAGTTGCAGGAACTGCAGCCATACTGTACATAATATGAAAAAATTTAAATTGCTTGTTAACACATGTGGCAGCTACATACAACTTCTTTTCCTGAAGATGCATTATCACACCATTTTTAGTTATGTGAACATATGCCGTTGTAGAAAGAGTGCAGTACAATATGCCAGGTACTCCTTGAAAACTCAGCATGTTATCTGAAAGTAACTTGAATAGCATCTAACGTGTTTTCAGAGTGGGATTTGTTTTTGCAAACCTTTAGGAGTAACTTGTGATGCTTTCCCTCTATTTTCTACTTTGAAAACATTCTGGAGCTGAGCTTACACCTCCTCGGTCTCTCCTATGAAGGTGGCTAGCTAAACACAAAAGCAGCATGGTCTGATGACCCTGTTTCCCAAGTTTGTGAGCACCTGCTGTATGCTTTTTGCTATGCTTAAGTTAGCCATGTGTATGTTTGGTTTAGTTTTTCAGAGCTGTCTATTTTAATGTCTGTATTTTGTAACTTTTTTGTTGCTATCATTATTGAATCAAAACCAATTCTTGCTATACTGCTAAACTGTGGTGTTTTTTTCAACAGGGTCTGTGATTATGGCCCAGCCACTTAGCAATTTAGACAATTTGTACTGTAAAGGAAGAAAAAAAAGTTGATTACTTAACTCTTGCTACTAAATCAGCCGAGCTTTTTTAAATCATGATGATAATGCATGTACATGTGTGCACCTGGAGCTCGTTTGCTTCTTACCTCCTATCATCCTATGAAATCCAATATATAAATAACAGATTCCAAACCTGCTTAAACAAGGGAAATAAATTCATGGTAGAAGGTTAACGTTGGGAATGTTCTGGATCAGCTGCTTTCAGCAAAGTCCTGGTACAAAATTAGAGATTAATTTTCCTCTCAAGTTTGGTATGAGTTATGGGAATGTTATTTTGAGACCATATAGAAGTCTTGAGTGTCATTTTGTTCTGGGTAACGGAGTCCCCAAAGACAGCTTTTGTCCTGCAGTACGTGTGGGACTCTGGGTAAAAAAAGCAAACTAGATTTCAGCCTACTATTACATGACATGTATATTATCCTCTACAAATAAAGGTTTGGAGTCTCCTTCTGCACGGTAGATCTGAGGCTGTAACAGTGCCTGTAGTTTCAGTATAGTTTCTTCAGATTTATGCTGGAAAACTAAAGAATTTTGGTGCATAGTTTTGTATTAAAGGAAAAGAAAAACCTGGTGAGAGCCAGTGTTTATCATCACAAGTAGAAGGTAATAGTAACATTTTATGAGAAGCCTTGGTGTAGATTGAGGGTCCTTGCTGAGGGCTGCCTGGGACATGAGTAAAAGCGCAGAATCCCCCTCTGAAGGGGAGAAGGTGGGTAACTGACACTGTGGAAACACAGGATAAGGAGAGCTGTGAAAACCCGTGCATTCAGTGTACTGCTTAAAACTGTAAATATGAAATTAGTTTTTCCTGTGATATAAATTGTCATAAAAAGCGGTATGCCTCTGAGTGCAGTGAAGGAGGTACTGAATTCCTGTGAATAAATACTGCGTGTTTTCATATTTGCCTTTTAAACTAAATGCATTTTTGAAGCTTTATCAGTAGTGGAGCCTCACGTTTTTGAATCAATTCATGCTATGACGACTACTGGAAACTAAAATATTATGAAGGAGTTTTGTGTGTGTCATAACTTCACAGTATCATGTCATTTACTCTTGAAAATGCAGATATGTTAAAATTAAACTGAATTTATTAGCTCTAGAAGCTGGAACTGTCTTAAAAAGGGGATGCTTCTGTTTGCACAGGCTGATATTGCACCACTGATGGCTTCCCTTATCGGTGTGCCTTTCCCCCTGAATTCTGTGGTAAGAAGTACAAACATTTTTCCATATTATAGAAATCTGCTCCTAAAGAGGTGTTGGGGACAAGACTTGAAGCATGTGAGGGGGGAAAGGTTTTAAATTTGGAAAACTGCTATAGGTTATGGAGACAGCTTGTAGTTTTAGCTTTATATGTAAGTCTTCAGTCAGGAGCATAAACTCAATCTTTTTATATATTGTATAGTGCTTTCAATTGGAAAGGCAGCTGATCCTTTTATAATCTGCAACTTCATACTCTTGAGCAACATAAAAGCTTTTTGTTACTTTCGTTTTTAGGGATGGTTAAAATGCATTATGGTTTGAATAACACTTGATTTTGATCATGAAAGCTGAGCCTGTAAACAAGCTGGTTCCTGCAATTTAATGTTTAATTATTTCTTGTTTAAACCAGTGTACTTTCCTTAGATGGTATCTTGTGCCTGTAGTGAACAGTGAGTGCCCTCACTGTGAGATGGCTTTTTCTTTGAATCTCCTTTGTATATTTTTACATAGTCCAAAGGTTGTCTCATAAATATCTAATTGACAATTAGCATTACATTAGTGTGCTTTCATGCTGCTTGTTTAATTTTTAAAACACCTATTTACAGCACGGTTTTTGAAATATTTCTTTTGGAGAGTCTGCTCCAAATTCTGTCCTGCACTCACTGCTGGTCAGGCAAAGCAAGCTGCCCAACATAGGGTGGCATGGGAACCACTCGCTTTTCCATCACAAGTACTGGGTGAGTCAGGCCCAGGCAAGTCTTTTGATGGAAGACTTTTAGGTATTTCAAAAATGGTTTCTGATTAAAAGCTGAGGTTGTATTACTCTACAGTATATACTTTAATAACGACTTCCATTATTTACCTTTTTTGCGTTTCTGTAGGAGCTGGGATATTACAAACAATCCCTGTAATGTTGAGAAATTATGCGAGAAGAATATTTTCAAAGGAGTTACACTAGTTATTTCACCTGTAATTTGAACTATTCTTACTGCTCATTTGGCCTGACACTCAGAGAAATTCCTGTTTCTTCATTTAAATTTTTTATGTATGTATGTATTTTTCTTCCCCAGGGAACTCTGCCTCTTGAATATCTGAACAATAGTGCTCATTTCAAAGCAGAGAGCTTATTTACCAATGCTGTTCAGATTCTCGAGCAATTTAAGGTAACTAAACATATGGTAAAGAAAAATATTTCTTTGAGTAATAGTTGTTGCTGTGTGTAAAATAATTGTACGAGGACAAATGCTGTATATAGCATGCTGTAATTCAAAGGACTAAAATTGAATGCACATACTGAGTTGATGTTGATTGACTAGCTGTGAGCTAGACCCGAAGAAGTTTGAAAGACTTCAATAAACACCTTTTTTGTAAAGTAAAAGTAACTTATTTCTTGAGTCTTAACATAAATGCTGATATTTATTAATGTTAGTGTAAACCTACTTGCAGTAAGTAGGTAGAATCTGAGTGCTGATACCTGAAGAGGGAAATACTGCCTTTGCAACAAGGGCTGGGAGACAAGGCTCTAAGTCAGGATCAGTATACAAGCAGATCAAAAAGGTAACAGGCACCTGCCCGTTAAAGAAATGAAATTAGTGGCCTAATTCACTTTTAGCTAATGCTGTTGTATCTGTTGTTTTGCTTTGCAAGTGTTCGTCTCCGCCTTCTCTGTCATGATTAATCTATTATCATATTATGAGAACACATATGTGGTCCAAACAATAAAAGGTTCTATGTCACTAGATGGTGGAATAAGAAACAGTTCCAAATCCAAAAATCACAGTTCTGGCAAGACATAGAAATGCTCTGAGGGAAAACCAATCTCTCCACAGGCAGGAAGCTGAGCCACGCAAGAACTGTTGCCCTGTCAGGAAATCTGTGTGATGATGGTGGGATGAGGAACTAGCATGAGATCACCTCCAAGAGATTAGCACCATCAGCACCTTCTGTCCCTTGAACACCAGGTTCCCAAGTGTAGATTTTGTGGATACAAGCTTGGCAGTGTCAACAGCAGAGTCTTTTCCAACGATGTGGTGAAAAGCTGGCCTGTAGCAGGGAAAGTGACTGATGGGCTGCACATGAAGCTGCTGATATAACCTCCATGGTTGGAAGACCTCTGTTCTAAGAATTAAGGATGTGACTCAGGTCTTTTTCAGTTAAATTGGTGTCCCAGGGATTATTTAAAAAAAGAAAAAGTTCTGCTCCTCCTTTAGTTTATTTTTGTTCTGTCATTTTGTAGTGCTAAATCATCTATTGTTGGCTGCCTTGTTTCTAGTATTGCTTTGGAAGGATCGTGTGTGAATTTCCTTTGTGTTTCTCTGCTGAAGCAGAAGTAGCGCACTGGCTTAGACATGCCAAGTGGCTTTGTACTTTTCCTGTGATGGACTGACCTGACCACAGTTTGTACTCCCTGGAGAGGATGTTGCCTTGGATGGATGGGATGAGATGTACAGGTTACTACTTCAAGCTGTCAGGTTTTGGGAGCACTGCTCTTAGAAAGTTCTTGTTTGTGCCTTATGCCAGCAGTCAGACTCGAGTCAAGCTGCTGCAGGAGGCTATAAAGATGTTTTGAAGGGCCCTGGGGGAAGTGGCTCTGATGGCATCAAAACCTTCTATTTTTATTCTTGTGCAGGTTAATCGATCTAAAAGCACTGCCGAAGCAGTGTTGCTGCAGTGTACAAGTTCCCATCTGGCATAAATAATACCCATTTCATAGAGGAAGGTTGTCACTGAAGTCTGGTAGCACTTCTAGTCATATCTTCCCTTTATCCTACAAACTGTAGAAGTCCTGTGAAAATCACTGGCTGCGGGGTGGTTTATTTTACCTTCTTTAGAGCAGGTCTGGGTTTCCAGGTATGCTAATTCCACACTTGGAGGAGTTGAGTATAACACCCAGTTTCCTAGACAATATATCAACAGTATCATCTAATTCCTTTTCCAAAGTTGTATAACTCTTCTGTGATTTTTAGTTTAATTCCTGATACAATTTTTAGTCTTGTTGCAAGTTGCATATAATTATTTAATGCTTTTTATGCAGGTTAAGATGAGTCAGAAAAAAGAAACTACATTGTCGTTTCTGTTCACACCATTCAAGTAAGTGCCTGTAAATACTGAATATATTTTACACAGTTGTTTGTCTTATCACTGTGGCATTCCAATGAGATGCAACAACAGTGTAATTTGGTCTCTTCAATCTTTTTTTTAAATGGTAGTGTTTATCTGACTCTGAAACTTTGCATTAGAATGAAGTCTCTGCAGTTAATTTCTATGTTAGAATCCTGGTTAGAATTAGATTTTTTTAAAAAAATCCATTCCTTACATTTAGTCTTCCATTAGGGGTTACTTGCCTCACCTTTTTGACGATATAGCAATATATAGACTGCATGGTAGTTTTCACTAACTTTTGGGGTTTTTGCTATCTTTTAGCATTCCTTGGGAGGTATAAGTCCCTATAGGGTCAGGAAATACCATCCGTTCCTGTTTCTGTGTATATAGAAGTTGAACTAACAATTGTTTCTTCTGTGATTTAAATTCTAATGAAAAACAAACAAAATGCCTTGCATCCAGAAAAGCAGCTCAAAATCTTTAGAATTTGTGCTGCCTAGTGTTAGTGTTTCCAGGGCTGTGAATGAGTCTCTGCAATGACTTATGTGTATGTGTGTGTACCTGTGAGCTCTGTGTTCTAGTGTATGGAGCAATTACTGACCCACTCACCCTTCAGTTTTGTCCAATTAAAGCTGCTTTTTTCTTTTTCTTTCCCCACTGAAAGGGTTTTGAAAGCTTTGGTATGGGTGCACATGATACTGTTCAGTTCTGCTTTCATTTGTGGAGTGCTCCAAAAACACTTTGTCACCAAGAGCAGCTGTTTTCCTTTGGGAAATAAAACTGATGTTAATGAAGATCTTTAAATCATAGGTTTGGTAAAAAGTACTTGAATCTTTTCCTGTGAAGTATGTTTAACTGCTAAATAAGATTGCTGTCTTTCTGAACAGAGATTCACTGTTATTTTATACCACTAGCTTCTTGAAAGGGAAGGTTTAAGACAGTCTCTGAGATACAAGTCAAGTCAATCTTGGGCACATGATGAACGCTTTAGACCAAATTTTTATTAAGAATTATAGGTGCATTATCAAAGTATTTGCTGATGGAACAAAAATGCCATAAAGGATGGTCAGTCATCTTCAATTCTGTGGAGAAGACTAATAGTTTAATTTCACAGCTCTTGTTTAAATTTTACCTTTCCCCAAGAAATAAAACTGATTCTGTAAAATAGGATCTGTTTTTCTTAATGCTAAATTTATCTTTAAAGGAACTAAATGTTGTTGATTGCCTTATGGACTGGTGACTTTTTTTATGGTATGTTGGATTGTTTTAAGTGCAAATGCTGGAGACACTTATCACTTGGAAAATATCACTAAAACTTGATATGAACGTGTTGTTATTTTGGTGTGGCCCATTGCAAAAAGAAATTTACTTTACTTTCTTTAGGTATTCTTAAAACTTTTCTGAATCAGAATGTGGGTTAATGATCCTTCCAGGAAAGGTTTTTTATGAGACCAAAATAATTCCTTGGATGTGTGAATTACCTTACAGAAGGTGCCTAAGCTTGCATGTTGTATGGATAATGACTTTCTTTGGTTCCCCAAGATGATAGTGTTTATCTTCACTCTAGGAAAACAGAACAAGATTCATACCACAGATGGTCACACAATGCAAATACTCATCCACAGTGTTCTGGGGGGCGAGTTTGGCCAGGTTCTAATTAGTCTTCATGACTCCACTTGCTTGTCAAAACTTGGCCTGTGTCTGGGAAGCTACCAAGGGGCCTTGTCCAACCAGTTACTAATAGGTAGGATGAAGCAGTTGAACATCAACTTATTTTTAAGCATACAAATAACTTCCTAGTGCTTCAGCTTGCAGGAACTGAAGGAAAACCTGAAGCCATTTTAGACACAATCTGTCCCCTCCTTCACATGGGGGCAACTGAGCAGTGAACATGAGCCTGAGCTTCAGCTGCAGGTTGTCATCTGATGCATTAGTGTAAGGCAACCCTCATCAGTTCTCCAAACAAATTTTTCTTGAACCAGAGTGAGATACTGAGGGAAAGGCATGTACCCCTTTCTGCTGGCTTTACTGTAACAGTTTTTGGTGGTAGGTAAGAGGTATAGAAGTGTACAGTTACTCTAACTTATTCAGGAGAAGTTAAGAAGGCAGAGTTGGGGATAGCTTACTCCTGTAACTGGAGCAAGAGATGGCTTGATATATTGTGCTACGTTTTAGTGGTTGGTAATGGTACGGAATTGCATTTCTGCACAGTTATACACTATTTGGACTTGTCAGCCCAAGTTTAATGTCAGGTTTGTCCACTGATTTGTGTTAAACTATGGTTGGCCTTGTCTGCTGCTCCAGTGAGCACAATTCTTTGCTGTGTTTCTGCTAGGCACTACTGTCCTTTAATTAAGACAAGAATAGCTCTTCCACCACTGTTCATTGATTTGAGCTGCTGTACAAAGGAGTTATATCCTTTTTTAATCCTTTGTGGTGCCTTTGTGGTGAAATTTGTAACTTGAAGCTCAGAAAATGTGTACACCAGCATAATGCCTTACTCCTTCCTAGTTTATTGGAGGTTAGTGAAGCATAATTCCTGTCTGAAGTGCTTTGGGTCCATCAAGTTATGTAGAAATTGAAAGTGTAAAAATTGTATTTTGGGATATAGATTTTATGTATATTTCAGCATCTTGATAACATGAAAATGAACAAAGATACCTCTAAGAACTGCCTTTCTTAAATTATTTGAATTAAATTATGTAATTGAATAAAGTCTGTATAACAGAAATGTAGATACGAATTCCAGAAGAAACCTGAATCTAAAATTTCAGATTGAGACATTCTTGTTTCTGATATTGCTATTGAAGATATATTTATCTGGGAGGTGAGAGTATGTTCACAGATAACGTGTTTTGTAGAAACTACAACATAACAAAATCCTCAACTTAATTTATCAGCCAGAAATAGCGTGAAAAACTTTCCTTTAATATCTGTGGGGAAAATCCTGTTTCCGAGCTTGAAATCCATCTGTCAGGTGTATAATGAGGAGAAGGATGGAGCTTCATGTTGTGTGATAGAAACTTCAGTAGTGTCTACCTGACCAGGTTTGAGGCAGGTTAGAATTTGGATAGCTGTTTCTATTAATAAGGATGTGTCTGGCTGCCAGTAATGCCACTTTGATTTTGTCAAAGTGCCTTCATCAAGGAACAAATCTGTGTAAAAGTGTATCTTGAGGCTACCTGTGCTACCTGTGTTGAGAATACGTTTGAGAGAGAGCCTGGCTGCAAGTGTCTGCTGATTCTGCAAGGCAAGGTGCACAACCTGCTCCCATGGATATGCAACAGCTGAACTGTGTCCCTTGCTGATACTGAATACTTGTTTAGAATCCTTGTCTGCAGTTCCATTTGGATACCTGAGGGGATTTGCTGCCTGAAATCAGTTTCATTCCCACTTCCTTCCACTCCCTACCCTTTTTTCCCAGCTATGAAAGATATGTTTTCAAAAATTATTTGCTTAGCAAAATCAGAGGCTTCTCTTATCAGGATTCTGAGACATAGACACAATGCTTTGACCTTTGTGTGTAAGAAAAGCAGGTAGCAAATGCCAGATGTTTTGAGGGGAGAGTGAGGACAAATCCGAAGATTGCTGACAGAGGAAAACTGCTGTCCAGGATAGTGAACTAGCTTCTTAGCTTTCTGACCATTTGATGTATCTTAAGGCAACTGCTGAGCTGGCACAGTTTCAAAGAGGAGTGTGCCGAGGGGCCAGATACCACTGTTGCAAAAGCTTTCCCAAAGCTGGTATCTCTGGGCTGTGAAAGTAATCCTACAAGGAGTAGGAGGAGGACAGTGTAGTGAGGTGAGTAGATGGGACATCAGTGTTGCACTAAAATCCTCTTAACCAGTTGATGCAATTTGATTATCCCAACAGGTACAAGAGATTTAAGATACTAAATTACACAAAAGCACAGGAGTCCTTTTGTGTGTGCCTGATGTATACAGTGCTTTCAGGGAAGACTGTGCTTCCAGCTGTTCAGGTTCCAGTGCCTCACAGTAAGATGGCAGGAGCACCATGTACAAAAAAAATCCAGGAGGTGAGCAGCTGAATTATAATCAGTGCTTGCTTTCCACTTGCTGTGCTTTTTTATTGAAAGTCTTGCAGTTTATATCAATACAGGCTTTTTAAGCAGGAAATAGCTTAAGTATCCTACTTAAAGTCAGGTTTGTATCTTCTCATATATGAAAAATCCCATACCATCTTGATGCTGCATTTTTAAAGTAACTTAATTGTTTGAATCCTACATTTTAATCATCCTAAATACTTATTTTTGTGTGTTTAATCAAGTTATAACTTGCACAGTTATATGCAAAGTCACTGCATTTTTAATATGCAGTGTACAGCATACAGCTATTAAATAAAAATGTGCCTCTCCCTTACCATACAAAAATGTAACTCTTTTCCTTTCCTCTATGCTCCAAAACGAACTGAGATAAAACTCCCTTAAACATTTGCGCAGATTTGATGCAAGGAAGTATCAATCATGTAGACTGAGTCTTTCCACATAATTACAATTATGTATTTGTCACGGTGATAGAAAATAAAATAGCTCTTTCGTAATTTAGAGTGTCTTTGAAGATGTACAGCAACTTCAAAGAAATGCCACATGTACAAATACCTCTCTTTTCTTTCCTTTCTCTGACTGAAGATACAGCACTGCATTGTTCCCTTGGTCTGATTCAAAACAAATAATAGATATTTCCACAAAATTGACATTTGGAGCAAAGTGAAACAAGTCATTTCTCCTCCACCATTAAGTGGGGCAGGGTTCCTTAAGGTGTCAGTAAACATAGCACATCCTTTGAAGTATCCTATTCTTGTTTTGTTTAAATAAATTACATTTATTTAAATAAATGGTAGTATGCTAGATATTTGATACATGTGGTAATGCATTGCAAGAGCAAACATTAAGGATTGAATGTCAGGAGGAAAAGGTGAAGCTATTGCACTAGGAAAGGGTATTTCTAACAGTGATCACAGAATCACTA